CCCCCACTCCCCTTCTTCCCAAACGCAAAAAAGGAAAATCATACATATAAACAAGCGAAGAGAACGTGACATACCAATACGCTTATGCACAAATTTGTCTTTCCTTTCTTGTACTTTTGAGAAATGTTCATTTCCAATGAGTTAAAATAAATCCATTAAAAGATGAAACTATTCCTTCCTTCTTCCTATAATTTGTACTTTGTACATCACTATATTAGTTTATATATGTGTTGGTTAAGGGCCTGTTTCTCAGAACTGTTAGTGAATCTAATAGCTTCAAATTGGCCGAGATATTTCAAACAGCCATAATCCCATTGTTGACTCTGGGTAGATGTCTAGAAATGTTCGAACGATAGATCTATATGACTATTTTTTTCCTTTGTTGCATCTGTACCCATGATCTGAACTCATATGCTATTCTCTTATTCACAAAACAACTATAGCCAAAACTCAAAACCATAGATACCTTTCTGTATTTGATGCAGAACGGGGATAACCTAGAGATAAGATAACACCGTTGGCTTCAAGATCATGGTGAAGAACTTAATTTCCCCAAAAGTACGGCTCTTACAGACAAGACATCGCCCGGAATCTCCTACATTGTAATGACGTCATCACATCCGACATTTCTCACCACTTAGGTCTAGCAAGCATTAGTCTCTGCCCTTCTCCCCACTCACTTCTTGTTTGTGTGTTTGTTCAAACTACCAGAATCAAACAGCGATCGCGAGCTCTGGAAATTGCTTTGGAATCCGCAAGAAATACTTAAGATTCTCGTTCTCTGATACTTAAGTGACAGGAACCCAAGACGCTCAAACCTCAGATCAATGTTTGCAAAACATCGAGGCCATCGCTTTTAGACGCACTTGGAAAATCAATTTGTACCACCCGACCTGTTCCTATTCCACGTAAATGTTTCCACCAGATGCGTAAATCTTCGAGATTTTTTAAAAGTCTTCACCAGTGTGTGGGGTCTAAGGTGTGGGTCTTATATCTCAGTTTTTTACCTTTTGTCAGGTGTTGCGAAGGCTGATACGTTTATTTTTTAAGTATGTATATTACAGTTTTCTAGAATGTGTTTATTTAAAGGGAATTGGTCGCAGCTGAGAAAATGTAATAATTCCGTGTTTATATTATTCATTTAATCTTCTGTCTTGGCTTTTATCAATGTATTGTGTCTCCTCCTCGTACTCCTCCTCCTCCTCCTCCTCGTCCTCTTCGTCCTCGTCCTCCTCCTCCTCCACCCCCATTCTCTTCTTGACTTGTCTTTCTGTGTTTCTATATCTTTTCTTCTAATCGTCTTTTCTTTTGCCTACATATCACTCTACTCTATTTTATT